ACTAACTCTTAACAATCACTTCTGCTCTGTGGGCACCAGGGGATTGTACTGACAGATGACCTATTAATGGCTAGCCGGAGTCTTACATGAATGATGTTTATCCTTCACTTGCTCCTGGGAGATGTGCCTTGACTTTGTGGACAAGGTACTGAGTAATGAAGAGTTCCAATTCACAGCAAGGCTGCAGTGAAGCCGGAAGTCACACGCAGTTGCGTTTCTTCCCTTAGTGCCATCTTATTGCTGATGTAGGCAATGCAAAATACTTGTCTGCTGTCCGTGCTAAGCCTCATGACCAAACTACTCAGAAATTAAGATTGACATCTTACTGAACCTGAAAGAAATCCATTTGTAACACTAAAACCAGATGATTTGTCTCCTCTTTCCCAATCTTGCAAATGACAGGAAACATTTTAGCATTGACTGCAAGGAGCTCTGTCACAAGATTAATTCTTTTATACTGCTGAATTTTCCACATCGCTAATATTTTACCAACTGACTTATAGCTGAGACCAAGGCAAACATAGTGCCATGTTGCAGCCACCAGAAAGCATGTAAAAACCTCTTGGAGCCTAAGGCATTAAATTTTCCCTTAACGCTATGTACCTCACAGTGAGAGTTTAGCACCTGTTGTTCTTGGCTCTGTATGTACGAAGTCATGCACAACTTTGTGGCAAGTCTTTATGTGAAGACTTTCTGGTGGGGAAGGTGAGTTTATTTTAAAATAATTTCAGCCACTCACACTCATTTGTACAAGCACCAAGATGTGTCAAGTTGTCTGTTCAGGCACGGATGTGTTTGCAGTAATTCTGCAGACAAGGGATCCTGGCTTTCAGGTTGTCATTGCTTCTTAGGACCATGTGCCCGTTTGGGATAGCTCTTTCTATACCTTCTAGGAGCTGACACGGTTTCTGCATCTTGCCCCACCCCTGAGTCATTCAGATTTACTCAGTGTCTCTTGTGTCCTACTCCAAGTGTCCCAGGAAGCTGTAAGCTGATGTGCTGGGATCTTGATGACCGAAATAGGACACCAGCAAAACCTTTCTCCTGTTGTGCCTTCTAGTGCTTCCACACCCAAGCATTCCTACTCATTTTCCATTCGCGTGAGTCTGAAGGTTTTGATTACAGTTTTGTACATGTGTAGACAGTTTCTGCCACGAGTTACTATCCAGACTTGGGTTAAGAGCTGTTGAATTGAAAATCAAGATGCACCTAAAATTAAGCTCCTGAGCAAAGATAGTCTTCCAAGTATGCAAGAGCATCCTTTTGTTTGAACCTGCTTTGAACCCGTGATCCTCACTTTCCTGCTGTTTTGGCTTCTAGGTGCAAGTTTCTGATGCTGACTATGTCCACTTAAGGGTGTTTCAGAGCCTTCCTCATGAGAACCAAGGTCCCAGCCTTGTCAGTTTTCAGACTGGCAAAACCAGAGATGATCCTCTGACCTACTTCTGAGAGACGATGAGGAGTGGTCCATCGCTTCTGCAAGTTACATGTGGATTCTGCCTGTGTCAGTAAATGCATGAAAATAAAATAAGTTTTGAAAGCTATTTGTTAATCTGCTGCATGTCTTGTCTAGGTCTGCTGCCTGCCTAAAGCTCAAGCAGGCTCTGAAATACTATTCAAGGCTGTTTCTGCTACCTGAGGTACTATAGCTGTAAGGTAGAGCACACCCATTTCAGCTCCTCTTTCCAAAACACTTGTCAGGCATCCTTTGAAGACAGAACTTGGGCCTCCTGAGTATACTTCAGGCATAACGGGCTACGTACTTCAGCATGTGGCTTCTTGGGTTTGTTTTAAGTGCATTAAATACAAGCTATTGGCCACTCCTTAGAGAATGTGTGAGATATAAATAATTTCTGGCAGGGGGGCATTGAGAAGCCAAACTGTGTACCCCTCTGTACGTGCAGCTTCACTGTATTG